CCCCCCCCCCCCTCCTTAATCCTATTCGGGACGGCCCTAACTCCACTGTATGTATAAAGAGCATATTCCTTCCAAACTTACCTCTTTTAGTGCACAAATTAAAATAGCATTGTAAAGACCATATATAGAGAACAGGGATTTTCAAATGAATCATGCTCCCCCAATCTGTTTATCAGTCCCTCACTGCATGCTAGTAACTCCTGGGGTCAGTTGTTCTAAAGTCAGCTTTATCCTCGTGGTTAATAAAATTTTCAAAACAACCTTCCCGTCAGTTTGGTTGTAAACATGGGAATATTTTTCCTAGAAATCTTGTGTGGATGTTTCATTTTCTAAAGTCTTAAATGGACGTGCAGAAGTGGACAACCCGAAACAGTGGATTACATTTTAACACAGGATTACCGCCAACACAACTTCGAACAAGCGGCCCCAGTTTTTTAATCATCTGAACATGGCAGCTTTGGTAATAAAGCGTAAACAAACATACCTACTGCTACATAACTGTCAAAGCGACCAACACAATCCTTCTGTATATACTGGCCTGAAAATATAAAAGATAAATAGAAACAATGTAAAGTGTCTGCGGGTACATCATGAACCATTATCAAGAATTTTAAAATCTTGACTCGCTGTTTACACACGTAAAAACGCACAAGTTGTGACAAAAACCAGCATAGTCTAGGACCTGTATATGAGTTTGTACGCATTTCATTTAGGACAGATAATCTCAACTGTTTTGGGGCAAGTTGACCATGACGGTCAACATGGTAACGCTGCCCGAACCCCAATCCGGGGCGAAACGTCCGAAACTGACCACACCCAAAACGACGCTTTCGCCATACTGCTATCTACCAAACCATAAAAGCTTTGGCTATTCTGAGGTGCTTATATGGTTCAGAGATGGTACTTTTGGGGGTGGTCATTGGTAAGTGTGAAATGCCTAGCACTAATATTTCACAAGAAAATGACCATGCAATAATCATAGTTAAACGTCAATTTGTGGCTTGCAACTTCAGATAAACAGCAGTGGACTTACAGTACCTTTTTCCCTAAATCTTTTTGAAAGAAACATAATTGGTACCTATCTAAATATATTATCACTGGTTTGGTGTAAAATAGTTAATATTTTCTGACCGAAATAATAATTTGAAATGTGCCTACCCCATGCAAATGGACGTATTTGGCAAAGTTCTCCACTTTACTCCACTGTTTATCGGCGATCTCGTCGACAT